GCCCAACCAATATTCTCTTGGGGGTTACAAATTCAATAGAAAACAAAATTTTCTTTTCTGACCACCAATTAGATGTGAAAGTGGACTTGGGGATACTCCAATGTGGGGACTTTACATAAATTAAGTCCTATGTGGCAATTATCTGTATGATGGTTCCCTACCCCAGAGTAGCATAAATACAATTTTTAGCCAAATCAATTAATGAATGTGGTCAAGACCGAAATGGGCCCTACTCTGAACATTTCAAACTTTATGCGAAGAGGTTCTCCACCTCCTTAGAAACAAAGATGCCAAACAATGGCCAAAATATTAAAAAAGTGACCAAGACACCAAAAATAGCTTAAATCATACGATGGTTATATAAATATGAAATCGGGTTGTACCCTTATCCGTGAATTATGATCGATATCATGAACGGCAAAATCGATTTAAGGTATCTTGAATGTTTGGGAAGATTTTCTGGAAGGATAGAAATCCTTTTCTTACTTAGAGTCCCATTCGCTCTACTATTTTCCACCCTTTTTATTTGGTATTTTTCTGATTGTACATTGGACGGATTATTGTGAAAGGAAAGAAGTAGTTCCACGCTTTGAAATGAGCCCCGTTAGGCTTTTTCGGTAATTTTTGTTTGTTCAAATGTGTTCGCATCTTCCAGCTGAACCACGATGTCGGCCCTGGAGTTGAAAGGTAGATGTCAGTTAACATCGTATTTCCCACTTATTTCATTTTTTGGTGAAAATTTGTATATAGTGAAAATTTTTCAATTAGATAATACAAATTGAAAAAAAAAATTGACAAAAGAAGAATAACACATTGAAAAAATCTTCAACTTGTTCGCTGATTTTTACAGCAAATGTTTAAAGATCCTTATATAGTTTGTCAATAGAATGTACTTCTATTTTAAAATTCGATTCCATTAAATTATTTCGACATCATCTATTCCGTAATTCGGTACTACACTTCCATGTTACTCGCCATCAGTTACATTTCTCAAGAAATCAAGTCAATTAAATAAATTGGTATTAATATTTGAATTCAAAAATAAAATATAAAAAACACTACAAATGTACATTAGAAAAAATAAGTCAAAATGGAAAAAAATCATGCAAAATAAAACATTACTATTGTACATTTGAAAAGTCAAAATGAAAATGTTAATATATCACATTTTTACGCGATTTTTTTGGATATTATCCTTTTCGGAGAGGAGACAATTCCGAATTTGTATGAATCGTTAAAATCAATCCAGCGGTTCTTAAGTTATAAGCGTAGTAACTAACACAACTTTCTTTTATATATATAGATAAAGGAAAATAAGATTTTCAGCATGGATGTGCCCTTTTTTAAATACAAATTTAAATGGAATGAATTTTTTGGTTATAATAAACCACCACATTCTTTTAGCAATGTGAATCCGCTTCAGGAATAGGTACAAGAGGGCTGTTTTTGTAAATTTGTTGAATGAATGAGTTAAATATGTTATTATAAAGTGAAACTAAAGGTACTTTATGGCCCTAGGTTCCTGATCATTTCATAGTTTATCCTGTCTATTCTTTGAGCTGATATAGGGTGACGTTTAATTCAAACATGTTTATATCTTCTATTGGATTCGCGTTTTTGTTGGCAACTAAATATGTATGGCCACGTGCATTAATTTTCTTTGTTGACTGGAATTCATAAGAATTGATGAATCAGGCCACACTTCGCAAAAAACATTGGAAATGTCTGACGGGTCTGTTTGTACTGAGAAAGTAACTCCTAGAAGCTTTTCTGCTAACGTATTAAAAGCGTTAATGATGTATCAACAATTAAAAAGTTTATTTTTAAAAACCATACACAAGCCGAGACAATGGTAGATGATATGGGGGAAAAAATGAAAACAATAGAAGAGACCATAGGGCTTTTGATCAATAATGGAGTAAACGAAAATAGGAAAGTGTTCAAGAAATAAGTGTTGTTTTGCCATGAAGTAATTCATGTATTTAAAAAAAATAACTACTTTAAAAGACGATAAAAGCATGCATTCTATATCCTGTATGAATGGATACATGAAGCAAATTTTTATGGTATACCAGTTATGAAACAAATTTTGTATTGTAGAATGTTGCTTATGTAAAATATGAAAAATGAGTTTGTATTTCTAAAATTAAAAAATATATATCCCCAGATGAATGATACTAACGCCTTTAAAAATAATGTATGTATTTATTAAAACGTATGTGCTTTGATACATACAATTGTTTTAAAATAAAAATGACTTCAAATATAATTAAATCAGATAATATATATATTTTAATAAAAATAAGTAAAAAAGCTATAAGTTCGGCCGGGCCAACATTTGGAACGAACTTGGCAATTCTCAAAAACAATAAAATCCGTTAAAAATTCTGTTAAAAATCTTAAAGATAGCGAATCTAGCTATAATATTAGGGTCTATACGACGACATGAACCTGCGTAGGTAACATTTGTTACCATTACAATATTCAAATGCGAAACTTAAAAAAATCAATTATAATAACAACAATTCTGGTGAAAAATGTCCCTAAAATCATTAAAATGCCGAATATCGGGAGGTACTGTTATATGGGGGCTATACGAAGAGGTGGACCTGCACAGACAATTTTCTGTCGTAGGCTGTAGTATCCATTACGAATCTCAAATACCGAATTTGAAACACCTATACGACGACATGAACCTGCGTAGGTAACATTTGTCATAAGCCACTACAATATTCAAATGCGAAACTTAAAAAATCAGTTATAATAACAACAATTCTGGTGAAAAATGCCCCTAAAATCATTAAAATGCCGAATATCGGGAGGTACTGTTTAATGGCGCTATATGAAGACGTGGACCTGCACAGACAATTTTTTGTCGTAGGCTGTAGTATCCATTACGAATCTCAAATACAAAATTTGAAACAATTCCGGGGAATAAATTCGCTAAAATCATCAAAATACCGAATATCGGGAGGTACCGTTATATGGGGGCTATACGAAGACCTGCACAGACAATTTTCTGTCGTAGGCTGTAGTATCCATTACGGACTTCAAATACCAATCTTGAGACAATTTTTGTGAAAATGTCCATAAAATCATTAGAATACCGAATATCGGGAGGTACCGTTATATGGGGACTAACGAAAACGTGGTCTGCACAGACAATTTTCTATCTTAAGCTGTAGTATCCATTACGAACTTCATACCAAATTTGAAACTATTTCGGTGAATAATGTCGCTAGAATCATTAAAATACCGAATATCGGGAGGTGCTATTATATGGGGGCTTTACCAAAACGTGGACCTACATGCTCCATTTTCAAAAGTCAAAAGTCCTGCAGACATAACATACATTTGAGCAAAATTTTATCAATCTACTTCAATTCGTTCGGTATTTTGATGATTTTAGCGATACTATTTACCGGAATTATTTCAAATTTTGTATTTAAGGTTCGTAATGAAAACTACAGCCTATGACAGAAAATTGTCTGTGCAGGTCCACGTTAGGCGTTACATTAAAACTTGCTGTTGGATAAAGATTTAAGCATGCGAAGCTTACTTTGTAGAGAAATTAATTCATCGATATGCGAATTCCATTTTTTTGTTAATTGTAATACCGAGTATTTTTAATTTTTCAACGGATGCAATTGTGCTATTGTTGCAAACAAGTCCAAGAGAACAATTTCGCTTTTGACGGATATGAAAATAATTGCACTTTTCCAGTGAAAGTTGTTCACCAGAAAATGAGCAATGTTATGTGTCACCTACTTCGGCACTCTGGTGGGGTTCCGACAATCTCAGTCGCGGCATCCCTATCAGGGGGATTCTTAACCCTTACCACCAGAAGTCCTAGGGGCTTAACAACTAGTAACGGAAGTTGGTCTTAATAAGGGACAAAACAACAATTGAAACAACACATAGCCCGCCCAACCTTGACCCCTTGATCCATAAACACAAATTTTAAAAGGGCCAAATTCCACACACACTTACCTATCGCGAAACCTACATCCTAGTATCCTCTCTCACAAACAAAAATTAGCACATCATCTTAATATTCAAACTTGAAAACATACATTTATTTTAGATATTGTCATTATCAATTAACCTATGAACATAAAACATTTAGAATCATAAAAACTGAACTAGTAATACCGAATAATCTTAGAATAAGAAATGCGAGTCACTGACTCAGATTAACACCTTTCTTATACGCGACAACCAATGGGCTATTAACGACTAAAAACACACAATTGACCTACCTAAATGAACTTTTCATTGATAGGTCGATATATTTAAATTATTTCTCATATAAATTCGTCAAGGGTTAATCCTACACTCGCAACATAAAAGGCATCGGCATTAGTAACCCTTACAAAAAAAAACAACACACAATTAAACCTTAAAATACATTAACCTAAAACTAGTATTACTTTGTATAATTAATTTCCTGTTTTATCTTCTTCTTTTTTATGTTAAAAGTTCATTGGGCTTTAAGGCCGCAAGGAAAATTCAACATTTCGGAGCTATCTGCACGGTGTATCACAAAAATGTTACCTGGTCATTCCGGATACAACAAAAAGAGCATCACCACTGGCTCACGGGGATTTACCAGTTACTTATGATGCTCCTCGGACTGGTCATATTTTAGAATCTCGATTTTTGTCCAATTAAATTATTGACAAATCTGTCCTCCCGTTTGGAAAATTGAGGAGGACAGTCAAATCGTTGTTAATTGTTGTGATGCAATCTTAAAAGACAAAAGAAACCCCACCGAGCACCAGTCAGTAACAGACAAAATTAAGATTCACCATCAACACTTACTTTTAAGATTGTCTGCCAAAACATAATAATAATAATAATAATAATAATAATAATAATAATAATAATAATAATAATAATAATAAATAATATAATAATAAATATATAATAATAATAATAATAATAATAATAATAATAATAATAATAATAATAATAATAATAATAAAAAACTCAAAATTCGAAAAATTTTAAAATTTATAAATCGTTTTATTTTTCTGTTTTAATATTTTCTTGGTGTAAATGTTGTAGCAACGTATAGGTTAGGAGCGGTAAAAGTTGTAGCGCGTTTTCCCACTTGGCCTCCATTTATACCCTCGGTGAAGCTGTTGGTCGGAATTTCCACTACTTTCCACAAAAAATTTTTCGTCTTTTTCATCGTTTGTTTACTTTCTTTTTGCCACTGATACTACTAAACCTATGATATTAATCAGGGCTGTATTTATGCTACTGTGACCATTCCTCTTTGACTGACCAAATACATCCCTGATGTGGCATCACCTTTTTTGGTGTGGCATTTCCGTTTCCGCTTCATTTTTAAACCATTGGCGGACGACGTACTTGGAAATAAATGGAAGGAGTCGTATTTGGAATACGGAATACAGGAAAGCAATTGAAAAATTATTCGTCATACAAAATATTTAACAGGTCTTTTTTTTCTACAGGAAAAGCAGAGTTTCTTCAATGAGAAAAACTCGTGTTTGCCATTGGTAAGCTTGTGCGTACATATCGCAAAAAAATGGTGGCGTGGTTTTACTTACACATACGTTTATACGCACATGAACCCATTCAACACTCGGCGTTATCAATGCTGTTTCATTGTGTCTCAATGCAGAATGCCTTTACACACATGCCTGTTGTCATCGGCAGAATTATTTCGTACACACCGCTGCCGGCAATGGCAGAATTACTGTACGTATACCGCTGTTAGCATTGGCAGAACTATTAAACACACATCGCTGTCGGTAGCGTTATTACACGAACATCGTCATATGTGTGTTGTCGTATGAAGGGTCTACCATTTCATTCACACGGAACAACGGCCATAAAAGAATGGTAATTAAGAGTTATTCATTTGGCAGATGAACATATAGGTGAGTAAAAAATATTACTTTTTAAAATTGATTGTACTTTATGTTGTTTATATTTTTATTTTATTTCAGGAATTTTATATATGAAGATACTCTTCAATTGGCGTATTCGGTATTCCAGAATTTTATTGTCCATTAAATTCAATTACATATATGGCCCATTTATTGTGAGTTTTCGGAGCGGTAATGTTGGTGGATAATCTATAGTTATGTACATAACTATAACTGGCGTGGCTTAATAGGCCGACTGCTAATTGGAACATATGGTGGCATGAGTTTCATGGGCGACGTACATGAAAAAGGTAAGATGATTTTATTCGTTTACTCAGTGTGTTAATTTTTTACAATTTTATTGTTATCGGTCTTTGTTGAAGTTTTCCCAACTACCTGTGTGCCACGATTTTTCGCCCATTTATAAACACCATTACCCTCGTCTCCTATGTGCGTAATTTATATAATCGGACAAGCAGTAAAATAGGACCTTTTCGTGTTTCAAACTGTAAACATTTATGGCAAAGTGTCTCAACCTTAAATACGGGTGAGTAATGTGGTGTTCTTTCGGTTTTTGAGTGTGTATTTACAAGTGACAATTTTCCATGTTAACCAAAAGAAGTGTTGTGTTACCTGGTTACAGGACGATGTGAATTTTTAAAGATTGTTGATCAAACATCAATATTTTTTCTACAATAAAAATTCTGTAGCAGTAATTAAAACAAATCATGACAATTTGTTGGCGATCGTGTTGGCCAATACCAAATAAGCATAAAAATGAAATTAAAAAATGCATGATTAAAGAAAACATCTTTCTACGATATCGATGTGATATAGTAGATATATTATAATTTATCATGGGCCAGATGCGGCGATGGGAATGATCAAATACATGAAAGTAAATTTATCTCATGAAAGTGAAAGTGAAGTGTATGAATATAATAATAATATCCATAAACAAAACAAATAATTTTTATATATTTGTTTGTATCCATTTAGTATTTAATATAATTCAACCTAAATTGTTTTATGAAGATTTTTTGAGTGTTGTTGTATCCGAATTTAAACATTTATTCGCGAACGGATTTTCACTTTATTATTTAATAATTTTATCTCTTCTTTAGGTTATTTTTCGCTTTTGCTTGTGCAATTACATGGAATTATTGTCACCGATTTATAATACTGTGTTCCTGCAACACATCATATATAAATGTTAGTGACACACAATATGCCCTATTTTACCTGAATTGCATAACCCGGATCAACATCTTAATATTTTGGAAAAGGAGGTGCTATACCAAATAAAAAGGATATCTATAAACAGGAGAGTTTTTAAAAACAATCATTTTGTAGTTTTGTGTGGACGGGTACTGACTTTGAATGGGCAAAAAAAAAAATATGGTGGCTTCAAAGTGATTACGAAATGAAAAAGGAAAGTGTGAATACTGATGTACTCAAGATGTATATGGCAAGATGAGCGTATGGCAAACAATTTAGGGATAATAATATTGGCGATTATATTGGCATACATGGGGTTTATTAGTTAATTTAATTAATATACATCTGATATGCAGCAGATCAATACGTATGCCTACCCGCTTCTGTACCAATTGAATTATGTTCGGCATAATTTACCGTAACCATGAATGGAGAGATTCCATTGGTACATATTTCCAGATTCCAACCACCATATACATTGACAATTATGTGTTTACTATTTATTTATTATTGTGGTGATACATTAAAAAAATGAATCAATTTTTCAGAGATAAAATCAAAATGTTATTTTTATTAAAATGCCCTCATTAATTTGCCTTGATTCTCCGATCATATTTTCCATTTCAAAAAAATATAATTATATTTTTCTGTGGGTCAATATCTCACTATTGGTTTCAGTCTACGTGACTATTTTAATGTGTGCTTTGTATCTTAATGTTAGTTGATCAGAATCAGGATTATTGCCTTACATACGGACATGCTGATACTATTTTGGAATTATCAAAGACCTGAGAAATTTCCCTGATGTTGTATCGTGAGGTATATCAGTCTAATTATAATTATATTTATACTGTCAGATCCTTGAACAGTTTTTAGTTGTTCTTTTCTATTAAATTAATTTAGTATATTGGGGGTTGTTTCATTTGTTATTGTTAACATGCAACTTCCTTTGATGGGACCAACGCGGGGAACTCCCACACCCTGAAGTCTCAAAGCCGGGTAATCAGGCACATTTCTTAGCCTAATATAAAATATAAAACGGTATCAATAATTGCTAATAATAATTAAATGCAAAAGGCAAGTAAATGGACGGTCACGAGCATACATTTCCTTAACCTATATTACACTTGTATTATTATCACAGAATTATTGCACTTGTTATATTGTAACGTCTTTGGCATGGAAATTACCTAGAGGCTTGCCCTGTAGTGTTTCAAGTTCGTACATATTGACAATCCTACATTTCAGAAACTTTTTGCAGAATTTTGCATTAATGTTGTTCTTGAAATCGGACGGGACATGATTTTTCCTAAAAACTTCTTGTCCTGGTAGAAATTTCACAAGGCGTGCTCGTTGATTATATCTTTTAGCGCTGGTTTCATATGCTTGATGCATGTTGTTCTTTATCTGCTCTCGCATGACTTCTAGCCGATCATTTTTGTTTAGCTGTTCAATTTGGTGGTCGGTGAGGGATTTTAATCTTCTAGCCAGTTTATAATCTGTCCCACTGGTAAACATGTTATACCCGAATAGGGCGAAGAATGTGTTTACACCAGTTGCAGAATGTGCAGCGGTTCCCAGTGCTAGTTCTATTTCTGGTAAAAATAAGTCCCAATCCCGGCGGTCACTTTGAACATATGTTCTAATTGCTGCCAGTACGGATTGATTTACACGCTCCGAAGCGTTGGATTGGGGAGCATAGTAGGCGGTTGTTAGGTGGTGTATTTTATAATTTTTCATCATTTCTTCAAATGCTTTTGATATGAACTGCTTCCCATTGTCACTATAAATGGTCTCTGGGACCCCAAAATTGTGAAATATTTGGTTTTCTAAAAACCGAACTACGTTCTAAGCTGTTGCCTCCTTCATAGCGTGCAAAAATGTAAATTTGGAGAAGTGGTCCACTACAATAAAGATGTACGCATTACCCTTTTTTGATCGTGGGTACTTTCCGAGAAAGTCCACATACAATTTTTGGAAGGGTCTTTCGGTGATCACTTCGTTTCCAATGGTAGGATTTAGATGTCGGATTGAGGACTTCGTTTCTTTGCAAATGTCGCAATTTTTCACATACTGTCTCACTTGTGAGGCCATTTATGACCAGTAGTACCAGGTTCTTAATCGGTCTAGGGTTTTGTTGATGCCTTCATGTACTGTATTTTGGTAATTGTGTGCTCTTTCTATTAGCACGTATGTTATGTCGAGTGGAATCCATAGTTTCCATTCGAATTCTATCAAGTCTGGATCTACATTGGGTATTCTTTTATAAATTTTATCGTTTTCGACTTTCAAATCTGGCAATGCTTCTTTATTTTTGAGAATATGTTCCCGAAGCTCTACATAATCTTCGCTCTCAAATGCTGTTGTTTCAAAGTTAAGTAAATCATTATGAAGATATATTTCCTCCATAACCATATCGGAATCAACAGGCATTCGTAATAGGGTGTCCGCCACAACGTTTTCTGACCCCTTTTTATGTTCGATAGAAAAATCGTAGGTTTGTAGCTGCAATGACCATCGTGCCAATCTACCACTCAGATCTTTTAGGGACATTAGCCACTTTAGGCTGGCGTGGTCGGTAATTATGGTAAACTTCATAAGCTCTATGTATGGTCGGAATCTTTTCACCGCAAGCACAGCTGCTAAACATTTCTTTTCCGTAACCGTATAATTTCTTTGGCAGTTATTTAATTTCTGGGAATAAAATGCAATTGGTGTTTCTTCTCCATCATCATTTTTTTGAAAAAGAACTGCCCCTACGCCATATTCTGATGCATCGCATTGTATATAAAATTCTCTGCGGAAATCAGGATGTCAGAGGACAAGGGCTGACGTTAGGGCCTGCTTGAGAGTTTTGAAGGATTCCATGGCCATCGGAGTCATCGTGAATTTTTGACCTTTCTTAAGGGTATCTGTTAGTGCGGCAGATATTGAGCCAAAATCCCTAATGAACCTCCAATACCATCCGGCAGTGCCGAGGAAGCTGCGAACTTCTCACGGTGACTTCGGTACGGGGATTTTTAATATGGCGTTGTGCTTCTCGGGGTCGTTTTTTAGGCAGCCATTCCCAATGATAAATCCCAGATATCTCAACTCCTTAAAACAGAAGAGTGATTTCTTCAGGCCTATTGTCAGGTTTGCCTTGTGTAAACCTTCGGATACTTCCTTCGGCATAACCCTAAATTGGTACCGCGGTCGACCTGGCACCGTGAATGTGGTGAGTGGCCTCGCCTCGTCCTCCAGCTCTATTTGCCCTGAAGGCATACTTCAGGTCGACACTGCTTATATAGTGGGTTTGGTCTATGCGGCTCAGGATACCATCTATGTTCTGGAGGGGGTACGCATCTTTGATTGTCAACGCGTTCAACTTTCGCGCATCCAAGCAGAACCTATTTTTGCCTGGTTTTCTAACCACAGTGGTGCGGTTACTCCAAGCTGAATTACTTTCCTCCATGACGTTGAGTGCTAACATGTTGTCGATCTCTTTGTAGACAATTTCTTGGACAGCCAGAGAGAGGGGATAGTGCTTATCCTTGATTGGATTAGCCCCTTCTACCAATTATATTGAGTGTTTTTCCAACATGGTGCACTCTAAACCACTCTCTTCGAAAGTCGGAAAGCTTTTTATAGCCTTGTATAGTTTTGTTTCTTGATCCTCGGTTAGTTTGTGCATCTTAAGCAGCCCATCCACAGACGAATTTGTTCGACGAACTGTTCGTCGAACAAAAATTTCATTTGCCCACCAACGAGTGCGAACATGCTCGCGAACATTATTTGTAAACAATTTTCATCGAGTAAACATGTCATCAGAGATCGACCGCGACACAGTCATTGCCTTGATGGCAATACATGTTTGTTTGGAGGAAAAAAAAAATAAGGAGGAAGTTAAAAAAAGAAAACACAGCATATGGATGAAACAATGGTATGCAAAGCGCCAAAAGTTCACACATACAAAACTCTTAAAGGAACTGAAAGAAAGTTCTCGGTTGGATTTAAAGAATTTTCTTAGAATGGACGCTGAAACATATGCAGCTCTATTAAATTTGGTAGCTCCAGAAATTCATCGGCAGGATACTACAATGAGAGAAGCAATAAGTGCAAATGAAAGGCTTTCAGCGACTTTGCGCTTTTTGGCAAGTGGCCAAAGCTACGAAGATTTAAAATTTTTAACTGGAATTTCTCCCCAGAGTCTTGGACGCATAGTTTTCGAAACATGTGGCGTAATAATTAAAATACTTAAGCCGTATATAAAAGTAAGAATAAAAATGTTTTATTTAAATATTAATTTCATTTAAGTCTAATATTAATAATCCTTATACATATTCATCG